TTATACATTTATTATAAAATAATGTAATGCATGATTGACGTTGACTTAAAACATTGTTTTTTTTTTATTAAAATCTCCCTTTTGATCAAAGACGTAAGCCTACATACAGGGTGAGTTTTAAATGAGTTCCCCCCCTTCTTTTTTCTACATTTATTTTAAGATATCAACTCCGAACCACGTAAGATCATTGTAGTGTAGTAAGTACTTCATTTTGACTGGGGTTAAATTTTTGGCCGCCAACTTGGATCCGCCATATTTGATACAAAAATACTTTTTCAAATGTAAAGGTAGGGTTGTGACCCACCGTTTCAAACTAGATTTTTACGCTTAATACGATGCTGCAATCCGTTTTTAAAAATATTGATCCATTCTAAAGTTATGAGAACTTTTTATAACTTTATTTTTAGCCCATTATAACATTGTGAATTTATAAACTAAGGCCATAATCTCAAAATAGTGCTAGATAAAGATAAGTGGACAAAACCATTCATTGTTGACCTATTTTCACTTGGTTTGTGAACCCACCATTTTTGTGACCCATCATTTTGTACTACTTTCTTATGCTGAACTTAATGCCGCAATCCGTTTTTTGTTATCAAGCTTTGTTGATAAAATATATTACAATTATTTTATTTAAAATGTAAATATTTCAAAAACCAAATACGACAATGAAAAACGAATTGTGGCAATGAATTCAACATAAAAAAGTAGATCAAAATTATGGGTACAGCACCCATGTAACACCACCTTCATATTTAAAATAATTTATCACATTTCGGATCCAAGATGGTGGCTGGTGGCTGAAAAAATACATCTGTCATAACCAAGTGAAAATAGGTCAACAATGAATGGTGGTGTCCACTTATCTTTATCTAGCACTATTTTGAGATTATGGCCTTAGTTTGTAAATGTAAAATATTATAATGGTCTAAAAATAAAGTTATAAAAAGTTCTCATAACTTTAGAATGGATCAATATTTTTAAAAACGAATTGCAGCATCGTATTAAGCGTAAAAATCTAGTTTGAAACGGTGGGTCACAACCCTACCTTTTCATTTGAAAAAATAACTTTGTATACAAAAGGGCCGATCCAAGATGACGTCCAAAAATTTAAACCCGGTCAAAATGAATTACTTCTACTCTACAATGATCTTACGTGGTCCGGAGTTGATATCTTAACAAATGTAGAAAAAAGTAGGGAGGGAACACATTTAAAACACACACTGTATATAGGAAAGCCAAATTAATGATAGAACACAAAGTCAGAACATAAAAGTTTAACAAGTGAATTCTTTTTTGTTTATCCATGTTTTATTGTATTAATAATGTTGTATTCTTGTGTATTGGCTAAGACAATGTGTTCAAATAATTTAAAGAAGATAAGAGGCTTGTAAATGGAACTGTTTTATTCAAACTTAAAACTAGTCGCCCTAGACAAATCTAGGATTGACAATTTTAAAAGTATATAAACCTACCTATTTACCGTTGTCAACCTGCTTGCCATTGTCAACCATTGTAATAGCATTGTCACCATTGTCAACGCCATTCCATGTACTGGTTTATGTACAATATGAAATAAAGACGATCAGGGCCGGTTTAACCCATACGCGAACTACGCGGCCGCATATGGCGCCACGAAAAAGTGGCGCCGTGTCGCCAACGGAACAATTTTTTTACGTGAACAACGTAATTTTGTTTATTTTCGCTCAGAGTTCAAGTATACCACAATAAAGGCATTAATTCTATTTGTACCAACAGCACTTGAAAAATGTGTACCTATATTTGTAAAGCACTATACAACTCAAGGACTCTATGCCATTTGCAGTTTCGATTTTGTAGTGGGCTGACGCTAGGCAGCGTACAGAGCGGCGCCTGTGGGTTTCATTTCACGACTCACTCATGCTCGAGATGAGATAAGCAAGCGCGCAGCGCCAATTGTCACAGCAAGAAACTTCCCCCTTCCCCCTCCCTTCCCTCCCTTCTGACTCTTATCCTAGAGCAGAGCACTACGTGTATTGCACTCTTTTAGTGTATTAGCGTGTATCGGTATCGTAATGGCGTTGTTTTGATGATTCATGATTGTTGATATGTGAATGATTACAAGTGTTTTAAGTTTAATTTATATTTAGCGCATTAAATAAGAAGAAAGTATAAACTGAATAAATGAGTAAAACATCTAGCGAGCCGATGCTAAGAAAACAATGGCAGAAAAAAAAAACGTCTGGCACTTATTATAAAAAGGGTAAGGCAAATTTGTAAGAGGAAGATAAAAAAAGCCAAATAAATGAGTAGATTTTTTGTTTAAATCATCTGGTGGCGAGTCCAGTCAGCCCAAAGAAGTCACGATAGAAGACGGCAATGATGTAATGTTTACCGTTTGTGATCAGCTGCTTGTTTTAATCTTTTCATGGAAAACAAAAATATAACCTTAATTACGTCATTGCCGTCTTCTATTGTGACGTCATGATTGACGAGTATTACGGCCTGTTTTTTTTTTTTTTATGTGGCCTTGGTTTTGCTAAAGTTTATATGATGAGTAAAAGTGTAAAAATTTTAAATTTATACGAATAATAAACAGTCTTTCATTGCAAGTATTCTTCTAACCTAAGACTTATAAAAAAGTTCTTCCCAAAATTATTGGGAAAAAATTTACAAATACGGTTATGTTATGTTATTATCTGGAATAAAAGAATGTACCTAAATTTAAAATTTTAAAATCTTTCCTGGCTCCTAAATAGTAAATCAAAATTGACCATTGCAAATAAATTATTACTATACAAAGTAATCCTGAAGCCAATTTGGACGTATGGAATCCAACTGTGGGGAACGTCCAGTATGTCGAACATAAACACATGGTGTCTACTAAACCTGGTTTGAAAAATTCAAGGAGTTTTCCAGGAGAATTCAAGACAAATTCCTGAATTTTAAGAGCTACTATCGGAACCCGTTCAACTAATCGCAACCCGCTAATAATAATTTATTATTACTATTATGATTATTTTAATTTAAAACAAAACTTTTCCAAAGAAAATATTTTATACAACATAATAAAACAGTATAACTAGTAGGTAAGGCGACACCAGCTATCATCTCCTGCGATCGTGGGAATACCGGTGAGCATATCTTGCAGTCTCGTCAACACAGGCAATCGATCGCGGCAAAATAGGTTTGCATATTTTATGATTTCAGCGACACCGATAATCGTCTCCCGCGATCGCGGCAATACCCGTGAGCATATCCTGCGGTTTCGGCAACACCGATAATCATCTCCCACGATCGCGGCAATACCCGTGAGCATATCCTGCGGTTTCGGCGACACCGATAATCGTCTCCCACGATCGCGGCAATACCCGTGAGCATATCCTGCGGTTTCGGCAACACCGATAATCGTCCCCCACGATCGCTGCAACACCCGTGAGCATATCCTGCGGTTTCGGCAACACCGATAATCGTCTCCCACGATCGCGGCAATACCCGTGAGCATATCCTGCGGTTTCGGCGACACCGATAATCGTCTCCCGCGATCGCGGCAATACCCGTGAGCATATCCTGCGGTTTCGGCAACACCGATAATCGTCTCCCGCGATCGCGGCAATACCCGTGAGCATATCCTGCGGTTTCGCCGACACCGATAATCGTCTCCCGCGATCGTGCCAATACCCGTGACCATATCTCGCGGTTTCGGCAACACCGATAATCGTCTCCCACGATCGTGCCAATACCCGTGACCATATCTCGCGGTTTCGGCGACACCGATAATCGTCTCCCACGATCGCGGCAATACCCGTGAGAATATCTTGCGGTTTCGGCGACACCGATTATCGTCTCCCGCGATCGTGCCAATACCCGTGACCATATCTCGCGGTTTCGGCAACACCGAAAATCGTCTCCCACGATCGCGGCAATACCCGTGAGAATATCTTGCGGTATCGGCGACACCGATAATCGTCTCCCGCGATCATGCCAATACCCGTGACCATATCTCGCGGTTTCGGCAACACCGATAATCGTCTCCCACGATCGCGGCAATACCCGTGAGCATATCCTGCGGTTTCGGCGACACCGATAATCGTCTCCCGCGATCGTGCCAATACCCGTGAGGATATCTTGCCGTTTCGGCGACACCGATAATTGTCTCCCGCGATTTCGGCAACAAAAGCGGCAGTGTTTGGTTAGCCGACGATTCCGATGACCAAGCTGTGGATTCCCGGAGGTTTGGGTGGATTCCTGGAGTTTTCCAGGACATTTCAAGGTAAGATACAATTCCCGGAGTTTTCCCGGTTTTCCCGAATTTCCCGGAGAGTAGACACCATGTAAACATCATCCAACGATTTCAGTCAACAGTTTTAAGGTTCATCCTGCAAGCCCCGTGGTATGTTAATAACAATATCCTTCAAGGACAGTAGAATTCCGACGGTTGAAGAGGAAATAACCAAATTTAGTACAAAATATCTAAAGAAGCTTGAAAATCACCCCAATCACCTGGCTCTAAACCTTTTGGACAACAGTACCAGTATATACAGGCTGAAAAGGATTCATGTCTTGGACCTAAGCTCACGTTTTGTTTGAACAATTTAATTTTCCACTGTTTATTTACTTATTTATTTTTTCATTGAAATATTTTTAAGTTAGATCTGCCAATGGACAGAGACTAACTAACGTTTTATAAATAATTGTTATTGTATTTGCTGAATGTTCAAAAAATGAACAGATTGTAAATAAAATTGTGATAAAAAAAAATAAAAAAGAGGGGTGGTGGGGGAATCCTAAGTGGCGCTGATTCGGGTGTTCGCTTAACTCTGAAAAATTCCTAGAACCGGCCCTGAAGACGATTTGATTTGATTTGAGCTACATTATGTAACATACACTAGGCTAGCTAAGAGCTATGTTTGGAAACATTAAAAACAAAGCTTTTGACATTTGCAATGGCAAAGACTATAAACAATTTCTTTAATCACAAAATCAAATAAGTGACAATTCATATACAAGCTTTTACTTACCTAGAAACAAATTTATTCAATATATCTTCATTATCATTATGTGAGTGAAGCGCTTGGATGTAATCCTGGACTAGTTTCTTCATCAAGGGATATTTACCAAAGTCCTGAGAACACAGATAAAAGATTAATAAAAAAAGATAAAAATTATGTATAATACACAATTAGTACACCGTAGATAAAGAAACAGACCCTAAAAGTAAACATTCAACAAGAAATGATATCAGAACGCATGTTGTTGCCATGCTTTTTTAAGATAGCTTTCTCAAAATAGTTAAATACAATCTGCCAAGTGTCTAGCAGTCATCACTCATGAGTAACAGTAGTCTCATTATAGAGACCAATAATGAAATTAGGGCTAATGTTGTAATTACATTTCTATGGCCTAATGTTATTTTAAACAAATAAGGGTTTGTCCATCAAATTTGGATATTTAACAAGCTCCCATCACGGTAAGCAAACCAAATCAAATATGTCTACAGTATATAATTCTTATGGTTATAATTCTTTACTTCATCGACTTCTGTTCCAGCCAATTTCCAACCCTACAAGACAATTTCTAATAACAATGCAAGGGAAAATCGACACTACCGCCAAATTAGAGCCATGTTTTGTCCTGTCTCTATATGTTTCTGTTACCTGTTTCGTCTTTTACCTGTTTCGAGTAAATCCTCCAAATATAAAAATCTAAAGGAAGACCTCAATAACGACCCTTGAGGATTGGGTGGCCTAGTAATTTTGCGGCCTCTGGGTATTCAACAAGCTAGCCCTAACATGAGCTCAGCCCAGTTGGAGGTAATCACTGATACTATATTTGCGAAACATAAGATCAAGCCGCATGTAGTAGTTGTTATGGTACCGTACACAAACAAGTATTCTTGTTTAGTGAACAAGTTGTGACAGACACCTTATACATACGTATAGCCTAAGCATATACATATATAAAGGCTCTCTGTGCTGCCTCAAGGCTTGTTAATTAACAACAAGACATCACAACAACTTGCACATCAATTCTAGCCAAACACCTAAAACAAAATCCAACTCACACGATGAACTTTCCTGATTCCTTCACAATTCTGAACAAAGCACATTTAAAAGTTTGACCCTTCCTGGACGATCAAAAAAAATTCATTGTATTTTTTCTATTGCATTTTTTCATAGAACGGGAAATATTTTGAGGAAAAAATCAAAATTAATTTTCTTTATTTGTGTTTTGTTATACAAGTATACATAAAATAAACAAAATGGAACATTTCATACTGCCAAAATAATGGTTTACTCCTTTTTAACTATGCGGATGTATCCGCTACCCGTCTGCGGATGAGTAGAAAAGCAGCTGATATATCCGCCGCCCTTCTTTTTTGAAGATATGACTATGACAACATTAGGCAATAAATAAAGAACAATAAGTAAACAATAAATAAAGACAACGTAGTGTTGAGTGCGAAACGTCGAGGGGGGAGCGTAGGAGTGGTGGGTGGTGCGCGGGAGAGGGGGAGGCATGGGAGAGGGCAGGTGCGGGAGAGACAGGGGAGTGCGGGAGAGAGCGCAGCCATTGAGAGCAGGAAAGTTGTGCCTTGGTACCGCGAAACATCTGGTTACTGCTCAAGCACCTGCCAGTCTGTCTGAAGAGAAGGCGGATATATCCGCTCCCCGTCCGGAACATCAAAAACCATAAGCGGATATAGCCGCCACCTGTCTTTTATTGCCAAAGACTTAGGCAGATATATCCGTCACCCGTCCGCAAAGGGATAAAACTATTAGCAAAAGTAGGGAAAGCTACCAAATATACAAACATCTATCTATGTAAATATTAATTACGTAAGCCGATTCTTTGCGTCAAAATTGTGGGCGACTGGGAAGTCGTAGAAGGACGGGAGAGGGCTCAAATTAAAGGTCTCGACCCCGTGACGGCGGGAAAAATAGTGAAATTCCCCAAATCTTGATACAATATTAGATATAACGTAAAATGTTCTCCATAAGAATAGCATTAGAAGTCATTTACTGCTGATTTCTCTTTACAGCTGATCGTGCTATATCTTGAAAACAGTGATCAATACACGCATTTGGTTTACTTTTAGCCAGTCAACTATGAAATGTATACTATAATAAAACTGAAATCTTGAAGATTAATCGGAAAAACGTAAGAAATAAACGACATAGAATAAATATTCTGTCTAAATAATCAAAGAGTCAAAATTAAATCTAACTTCTAACTGTTTTGTTTTTATTTTTAAATCATATGTTAGAGTTTATTTTAAATGATGTTGTTTTCTTTATATTTCTACACATTTTAAGGTTAAGGTTGTGTTAATATATGCACAATTTGTTTTTCAGGATTAATTTTGCCAACAGTGTCATTTAGAGGCTTCTGATTGACTATAAAGAAGGTTTAGTAATTGAAAAATTATTTTTGTTCATAGAATAAAATTATAAATGCCTCAAATTCAATTTTATATTTTTTTTATTTTTAAATTAAACCGTCATAACCTAACCAAACCAACCAAAGGTGCTGACAATGAAAAAATCTAATGAAGGTTTATTAATCGTAAAAATAGTTATGTTCATAAAATAAAATTATAAATGCCTCAAATCCTATTTAATATTTTTTTTATTATAAAATTAAACTATCATAACCTAACCAAACTAACCAGACTTGCTAACAATAAAAAAGCAAATGAATGTTTAACCGAAAAAAATATTTCTGTTCATAAAATAAAACTATAAATGGGTCAAATTCAATTTCATAATGTTTTAATTATAAAATTAAACCGTTATAACCTAACCAAACCAACTAAACTTGTTAATAATGAAAAAAGTCCAATAAAAAAAAATAGTGCTATGAGTGGGATTCGAACCCGAGTCCTTCGGATCATCAGCCCAGCACTCTATCCACTACACCACCGAGGCCGTTGGCATCAACCGTATCGTTGTGGTAATGACGTTCCCTCAGCCAATCAGAAGCCTCAAAATAATACTGTAGGCAACACTAATCCTGAAATAAAAATTCAGCTTAATATACAGCTAAAATAACCTATAAATGTTATTGGTTCTAAAATGGTGTATTTGCATTCCTTCGTAAGTAAATATTTTTTAGTGCAGTGAATATACAACGTAGAGTAATCATATTCAATCATACTTTTATAAAATCACCAGGGATTCAAGATGTTTTGGTATGTAGGCTGCTGGATATATATTCTTTTCATTATAAGTACCGTAATTAATATGAACGCCAGGGGTAGACCACAAAGGCGGGGAACTGTTCATAGGAATGACAGTGCCCTTAGGAGAGCAAGAGTAGATAATGACGAACTTAATAAAGATATGTTATAACCCCTTTTTAGGAGACCCATGGTAGACGAGAGAAATGTAAATATTCATGATGCAGGATTACTGGACCATGAGTGCATTCAATGTAGTGTTCTTCATTTTAGAGAAGAACTAACGAATAATCATTTTATGACATGTTGCCATAACAGACTTATTAACCTTCCTCAGCCAAAAACTAATGTAGAATTTAAAAATTTGTTTGAAGAGAGCCCACAACTGTATAAATTCATTCCACAATACAACAGTGCGATGGCTTTTGCTTATTTTTCAGCCAGTAAGAGAGATATTCCAGGAAAAGGACCATACTGTTTCAAAATTCAAGGACAGATTTATCGTTCAATCTCAGATTTGCTGCCTCAACATGATGAGGACCCCAATGGCCAATTGGCCAATATGGCCAATTGTACAGTATTGACACATCAACAGCAACAGAAATTCGTCAAAGGCGTCGAGAAAATAGTGACTTAAAACCTGAAATATTGTCAAAACTAGCTGAAATTCTATTAGAAAATCCATTTGCAAAAATTTACAAAAGAGCTTCGGAAGAAATGGTTGTACAAGGTGACAGTGAATTAGAACTTAGTTTTGTAGACAGGATAAATATGGATCGTCGTAGGTATAATAAGCCTACTGCAAATGAAATTGCAGGCGTCTTCAATTTATCTGAAGGCAAACCTCCAATTAATTTTTAAAATTCCAAACAGGGAAGCTTTTATTTATCCTCATTAACCACAAGACCAAAGATATCTTAGTAAACCAGTATTTATTCACAAACAATTATATGTTTGCTGCCTTTTCATGTTAAACCACTGGAGTGATTCAAATTATTTATTGAAAATGACATCATCCAAAGCAAACAAACAAAGAAGAATAAGCAAAGAACAACAAGCTGGTTTTGACACAAAAGATATTAGGTAGGGATGCCTATTCTGACACATAGATAATGTTATTCTGAGTTTGTTTAAATACCGGAATTGCAGTATGTTGTTTTACATTTGAGATTTTTAGGGACTTATTTCCCTACAAGCCACTAGTATAAATATAAATTGATTGAACACCCTCCGAAACAAAAAAGAAGAATACCTACATCAGTTGTACAGTTTTATAGAATTAATATATGACATTGAAACTAACAAAACTGGAAACACGTACAGCGACAAACCTGCAACACTATACTTAGATCAAAGAAACTGCAAATAAGCCAGGAAACCAGGCCATTGAATGGCCCAAACACTAACACCCTTGCTGTAGTCTAAGAAATAAAATGGAGGAAGGAAGACCTCTTGTTGAGACTCCATCGCTTGTCCGTCGTCTCGTTATTCAATCGACTCGACCACAATACTAGTGACCGCGCGGGTGTAAATCGTTTTTAAATATATACTACAGAGTTATTGATAAAAAGATAGAAACTTAGGAAACCCCCTGAAGATACCTTACAAGCAGGTGAATTTAATAGGGCGACACAAACCTCTTACCTACTCAAGAACAAAGGCAACAACACAAAATGTAACCTAATATTATTCAAGTTCTTCAAACTGGGATGGTAAAGAATATATCAAGGCTCCTGGTCCAGAAGTGCTAAGGTAATGGGTAATTTCAGGCTGAACAGGTACAATCAGCTGTTGTTGTCTGAATCCTTAAACCTGACCTCTAAAAAAGCATTACCAAAAGGGCTTCACTGTCTGGACCAATATATTTTTATTGGGAGAGATTCCTAAACGCCAGGGTTTAAACACTTACACCCTGACAGTGCATAATGCATCTCTATAACGTAAAATAATCCATGGTTTACTCACAACATTGTGCTTCAGTATCCTATGGACGATAGGTGTAAGAGCATCACTGATCAGAGGTGATCGAGGATGAGTCATACAGTGATGTGAGAACAGGCGACACATCTCAGGAGACGGAGGACAGTTCTCTAGAAGTGGAGCTAGAGTAGTGATCAGCTCCTCACTGAACAATCTACCTGACCAGCACTGGTCTTCCTGTGGACATACAAATATATGGCCGTTTTTATGTTAATAAATAGATGCCTATTTGGCAACCACAAAAATAATTAATGCGTTATCAAGTATTTTATTGAAGGTGCCCTATTAGGCCCACAGGTCAAATTCGTTTTGCTTGGTCACAAGGTTACACATACCTATCAAATACCTAATGCCTAATTAACTGTACGTTTTTAACTTAGGTCTTCCTTCAGAGTACTGTGCTTTGACTTCTAGAACAGCTGTAACCCAGCAGTAAAGTGTTAAACTTTAACAATGCTGGGCATTTATGGGCCATAAACCAATGCAAAAGCTGTTTCAAAAATGTATCAGACTAGCAGGAGACAATGACAAAGATGTTAGACCACAAATAATTTATTCAACTTTAGGAAATTGTACTAACAACACTAATACATACCTCAATAAGTAGCCTGGAAACAATATCTATAGGGACTTGATAAACACACTCATCATGTAGAGGGGTAGTAGTTGCTAACTCTACCAAGTTCTAGAACAAACAAATTGGTACCAATTTAGTTTCAAATTATATGTCTATTCTTGATATGATACAATAACTTTATTCAACTATCTTGTTATTAAACTATCATGCAAATAAGCTAGTAAACCTGAGAAAATTTTGAAAATAATGTTTTAAATGCAGGGACACACACGTCATACAACCTTCCGGCAGTGCGGGATTGGAAGTGGTGAGCACACATGTCATACACGCTTCCGATTCGTCTCCGATTTTCTCCTCCGGGTCACTCCACACTTACCAGTCTGATTTGAAAACTACGTGCAGAAAGGGGTCAACATGTTAAAAAATTTTGGACATCAGGATTTGATAGCGGGGTTTGTCTCAATGAAGAGGAAGAAAGCCTGACATCTCTGAAAGGCAGCGGAAAACGGTGGATTTCAGTCCATTCTGCATGGAAGGAAAGACCCTCGAATGAGAGTTTTTCACGGTTGCTTGCTGGTTTTTTTATATGCTTGCGTACTTCCTTAATCAGCTTCTCTGCTTTCAAAAAAACCAAAATTTTAATACACAAAAACAACAACTAGTCCATAGCAACAACGCCCCTCCAACAGCCGGACCAAACAAAGAACAGACTGCAGTGTCGGTGCGTGATTTGAAGCCAAATGGGAGTAGGACGGACACTCCGCGTTTAAAGTCCAGTACCATTCCTCTCTCCGATAGTCGTACACCATAGTAAGATTGGTATCGGGTCGGAAGGGTGTTTGACAAGTCAGTGTGTCCCCACCTTAAGGGTGATAACCTACAACTTGGTTTGGACAGATTGTAAGTGCACCTACCAAGTAGCCTAGGACTATCTTCTAAAAAATATCCATAGTGTCTACATGATTGTTATCTTTTGAGTACAGACAGGGTTGGCAAAAGGGGAAGTCTTGATATCCACAGTGTATATACCATCATGTAGATTAACTTCACTAGTCCATCTATGGTAGTCTACTACACAGAAATTACAAGAAATTTTGCAGTACTTAATAATCTGTATGAAAATTGCCCATGTAGAAATCTAATTCTGGCCCAGGTTCTGGCCAGTACTGGTACAGTACTGGCCAGTACTGCTACAGTACTGGCCAGTAATACCCAGGTTCTGTCCAGTACTGCCCAGGTTCTGACCAGTACTGCCCAGGTTCTGGCCAGTACTGCCCAGGTTCTGGCCCAGTACTTCCCAGGTTCTGGCCAGTACTGCCCAGGTTCTGGCCAGTACTTCCCAGGTTCTGGCCAGTAATGTCCAGGTTCTGGCCAGTAATGTCCAGGTCCTGGCCAGTAATGTCCAGGTCCTGGCCAGTACTGGTTAGAACCTGGACCAGAACCGGCCAGTACTGGCCAGAACTCACCAGTACTGGCCAGAACTCACCAGTACTGGCCAGAACTTGCCAGTACTGGCCAGAACTTACCAGTAACTGGCTAGTACTTGTAGATTCTAGACCAATAATCAATCTTGACAGAGTACAGTATGTAAATAAAGGAACCGAGGTTAAGGTAATAAAATACAGATATTTGAAGTAAAAACTAGTCAATTAGTTAAACCTATATTTATTGAAAAAATAAGTTTAAAGCAAGACAAAATTTATAGGCCTACATGTTTAGATAATTTTCAAGGGTAAAAACTGTTACCATCAATAATATCGACTCAACTTGAACTCGCTCCCCCCCCCCCCCACCATGGTTTTAAACCTCTCTGGATTTGGATCCAGTCCAGTTAGTCCAATTGAAGGTTTGGGTTTGGCAATGGCTTTGACCTTTGACCAATGAATACGAATACACAATTTAACGTTTTTTTAAGCTCAACGCATCGCCAACAAAAATCTAACACAAGAGGACAATAATTAAGACGAGGACAAGACAGAAGTGAGAAGAGCAAAGACGAAGATAACTATTTTTTTTGTACGAGTTCCATTCCATTCCAAAATCAAATCCGATTCAATCCAACGTGACGCACGCCGGAGCGGAGCGGAGTTGTTACTAACTAACCTCAAATCTCAACCTGTCAGTTGGTCAGTTCAGTTTTGGTCTCGACATCTTTATTAACAGTTAATTTCTAACTAAGGTGTTCTTGTCTTAGTTATATCTTAATATTAATCGTAGAACAACGTTCTACCTAATTTGCTGTGAAAAATATCTATTCGTGTGGAATCAGAATGGATTATCGACAAAGAATCAGGTCGAACTTGGCAAACCATCAGGTTTATAGACAACTGAGTTCACAGGCCTCATTTTAGCAAAAAGTTGTAAGTAATGCACCACAGGTTTGCATAAGTGTCATATTATTAAGTTGTCATATTAAACTCATAATATGCCTTAATGTTGAGGTGGCTGTTAGGTTTAGTTTTTATGTGTCCAGTACCTAGTATAGGCCTAGGTAAACTTTAACTTAGGCCTACCTTATTCAGTGCAACAAAATAAACTAGCCTAGGCCTAGTTCCAATTTTAACGATTTTCTACTCATTGAAGTGTTAAATTTGGAGTTGTGAAGTATTTAGTCAGTATGTTACTTCATTATTTGATCTCACAAATTGTGTACGGTACGGTAAGTTTAGGCCTTGATAGCCTAGGCCTATGACTAGGCCTACAAGTAAAGCAAACCTTGATTGGATTTGTAAATTAATGATGAGATTCGATTGCAATTAAGTCAATTTTTAGTACCGGTAGCCTAACTTTTGTTCAGCGTAGGTTCCGTTTGGGGCTACATTTGGGTACAGTTTCCGATTGAAACTATCAAATGGAAAATATTGATTAATAATCGATTTTGAAATATATCTAGGCCTATTTTATAATTAAACTATCATGACCTAACCTAACCAACCAAACTTGCTGATGGTGAAAAAATCGCATGAAGGCTTACTAATCGAATCGATAGTTTCAATCAATATTAGCATAGCCCAGTTAAGAAACTGTACCCGCCTACTTAACTTATGCCTAGATCAAAAGTAGGTAACTTAGGCTTAAACATCAAAATGCAAAACTACCTACCTAATGAATAAGTTAGAGCCTACACAAAAACATTGTTTTTCATTTGAATGGGCGGCTATTTTTATTCACAGATTGTTTCGTTAAGTAAGTTATCTTAGGCCGGACTAACTTAACTTAACTTGATGTTTGGTTATGTTTGCTGTTGTATTTTATAATAAGAAGCCTACTAAGTTAGCCCTGATTATGTAAATAATATGATAAATAGGTCTTAGCTTAAGTGCTAAGGTAGGCCTAAGGCAGAGAACCCATGATGGGTTACATTAACGGATTAAATATTAAAATAGTCTACTTCGATATAACTTAGGCCTAACTATCGATTAACATGTTGCAATCGATATAAATATTGAATTTCAATATTGATTTTCGTTTACAGTAAGTTATGGCGTTTAGGTTAGGTTACCTACCTAGTTTAGTTTATGAAACTTGTTAAAAAACTATATGAATAGGCCTACAAATTGATGTCTTTGTAATCACAAAGACATCAATTTGTAGGCCTATTCATATCTCATATCATATCTGTTAAACAAACCAAAGTAATATCAACTCTAATACCTACCAACAATTTTACTTTGATTGCTACTATCATAAACTAAACTAAAACAACCTAACCGCCGCAGAATGTGTGGAAAAAGTCTTCTTGAAACAACAATATTGATACAATTGTTACAATGGATATTTACATGAAAGCAAACTCATCCGATACAATATAACTACAGAATATAGTAGGTTCTCTACGGAACTGCACCCTTGGAAGTGCCAACATGAAAAAAGTACGGTAACAAGAAAGATAGGCTATAACATTTTTTTTTTAGTCTTTTTATTTTAAGTCCCTATAACTGAGTATTTAAGTAGGCCTACCTATTTAACTTTATTTATGGCCTTTGAAATGATTTTTCATTATACTTATATAAGTTACGTAGCCTATTACAGTAAAATTTTAAGATGGCCGCTTAAGTTAACCTGAATTGGGATAAAACTAGATTACCTATTAGGTCCTATATTGATTCTAAATTGTGTAGGCCTATTGCCAGGTTATTTTACAAAATCAAGTTTTAATTCGATTATTGAGATATGTACAATCTCATTTCTATTCAATATAAATATAGCCTAGCCCGCATTAGGAACTGCGCAGCTTACATTAAAAATAATGGAGTTGTTCAAGTCTGCACATGTACATTGAAAGCGAATTAGCCCAAACTTAAAGACAACCCAACATAAAGGCCAAGCTGAGCTCTGGAGATACAAATATACTTACATCAGCTCACCATTTTTTATAGTTGTAACTTGTCTGTTTCAGGTAAAAAAACTTTATGACAACTACTGTACTACATTTATATTCTAAAGACCATTGTGTTAATACTATAAATCTGACATTATTAATTTGATTAATAATTATAACCCCGACAAATTAGATTCATTGGATATTTTGATTGTTTAATTTTTTACATTTTCAATATAAAATTAAATTTAGTATTGTAGGGTATTATCAATAGTATTCTTTTTGGTGATTTTACTTTTTCATACAACTTTTATTGTAATTTTGCAAAAAAATAATTTATTACCTAACCTTGATTTTTGTTAACATAATTTGTATTTTAGCATATGTAATTTTCAAATACAAATTGTTTATTGCTAAAGGTGTCTTATTAATTCATCTTCCATATTGGTTCAATTCTCACTACTGTATGATCCAGATACTGGTCCAGTATTGGCCAGGTTCTGGCCCAGTACTGCCCAGGTTCTGGTCCAGTAATGCCCAGGTTCTGGTCCAGTCCTTCCCAGGTTCTGGCCCAGTACTACCCAGGTTCTGGCCCAGTACTGCCCAGGTTCTGGCCCAGTAATGCCCAGGTTCTGGCCAGTACTGCCCAGGTTCTGGCCCAGTACTTCCCAGGTTCTGGCCCAGTACTTCCCAGGTTCTGGCCCAGTACTTCCCAGGTTCTGGCCAGTACTGGCCAGTTCTTGCCAATTTTGGAAGTGCCCAGAACCTGGGCCAGAAAATTTTTTCACTGGCCCAGAAAATTTTTTTCCACATGGGTGGATAGCAAATGAGGTCAAACAAGTGAGGATTCGGCAAACTTACCTGTTTAAGCCTGCATTAAACCCCTTCTGGGTTTACTCCAGCATACAAATTTTTCAATATCAAATATCATGGCATTTAATTTTGGATACTATTCAAAGTTTATAGAGAATCACAATTAAATCAAACTGTGTTAAAATAATGAATATTAAAAGTTTAACAAGGATAACTTACTTTTTGCTTGAAATGGTTTTTACCTTGAGTTCTTTAAGTATCACTTCCGGGCGTGTGGAACATGTGAGCAGATTTTGGTACTTGAAGATGTCTTTCTGAAACACAGAGAACGATTTTTAGATTCAGTATTTTTCCGTTAATCTATAAATGAACTAAGTTAGTTTTATCAAATAAGGAAATGGTTTTGTAAAAAAATGGCTTTGTATCGTTTTAAAGGGTTGAGCTGCACCTTGAATATTGTGGTGACCATGGATAGTATGAAAAATACATGCAAAGATGCATTTACTTATCCAGGTAGTGTATGGTAATTACTTCCATCTTTGAGGATAATACTTCCCCAGTAGCACAAGTCGTTGGCCCACTAATCGGTGGGTAGGCCACGTTGGCTAATTCAACCTTCATTGGGCTAACGTAAGCTATTGTTAGCAAATCGTACTTCTGGTAATATTAAGAAAAACCATTTCATATAGCTAACAATAATAATAACTTAGGGTAATAGTAAAAAAACCAAAACTGTCTTCTAAAATGCCGCAAAGCGAGTAGCTCCCTCCATTGGCCCAACGTTAGGAAATGGTCGGCACGTTTGGGAAATTTTGGGTGGAAATTTTAAGGTCTTTTAAGGGGTTGGCCCAACGGCAACTTGTATTAGTTGGCAAAGGGAAAAATCGTTGGGCTTTTGTTGGATTTAAGTATAAAACATTCCAAAAGACATTTGAACAATAATTCATTTATTTAATAAGAAAATAAATGCTATGGCAGCAGAATATGAGACGATTTTGTAGATAATAAATGTAGTCAGATGATGTGATAGTTGCGATACTAGATACAGTGGTGGAACACCTGCTCAACATAATATAATAATAAATAATAATAATAACGCAAATATTTAAAAAAATTAAAATTTTTAAACTTATTTGATCAAATTGTTAATAGTAAAATAATTTAAGAGGAAAGATTATAATTATTCATTTTACAATTATAATAACATTACTAATGGTATCTAATTATTTAATCTATATTCAAATACCGGTATCCTCTCAGACTCCCAGAAAAACAATTTAACAACTTGATGCCTAAACAGAATTTACATAACAGTATCAAAAATATATTAAGTATTGTGACCATTGCAACTGTCGGCTCCTCTTTAACCGCTTAAAAACTGATCATATATCTACAACCACAGATAGCTCAGATAAGTTAGGTAAGGTAAGAGGTTCATAAATTGTAAGTACAAAACCTCAATCCCTCAAGCCTCATTCAAGACCTGTCAGGGGAAAATATATATTTTTTTTATTGTTTATATGAACTATTTATTCAAAATATTCAACTGAAAAATATGCTTTTCGTGCTAAATCTTTATTATTTTGTGTTTTTTCCTTTCTCCCCCTATACACCATAGTATATGGAGAAAGTATTGTTTTCGTCAAAATGTTCGAGTTTGAGTGGATATATTCGTTTTGGGTCCCCCTGGACCCAAAAAAGTGATTTTTGAAGTGATGTCTGTGTGTGTGTGTGTGTGTGTGTGTGTGTGTGTCTGGATGTGTACAGAGCTAGAGACTACACCTGTGGTCCGATTTCGATGAAATTTGGTATGTAGGTTCTAATCCATGGTATCTCCAGGTGTTTTTTTAATTTTTTTGAAATTTTGATTTTTAATGGGGATTTTCCCATAAAAACCCGGAAAAATAACGTAAACATCAGATTTTCCCAAAAATGGCCTGAATGATTTTGATAAAGATTTAGTATGTTATAGTCCTTTACATTCTGAACAAAATGGTACCAATCCCATTTCTGTAAAAATTAGGGTTAAAAAGTTATTGTAAATTATGTTATTTTCCCATAAAAACCCCCATAAAATAACGGAAAATCTGATTTTCCCAAAATTGGCTCAAACGATATTGATAAAAATTTAGTATGTTATAGTCCTTTAAATTCTGAAGAAAATTGTACAATTCCCATTTTTCGTATATTTACGTTTACCGCTTACACATGATAAAGGTTGTTGAAAAACTTATGGGAGAAAGTATGTGTCAGAATGCTGATACTGTTTATTTTTTTTTGTAGGATGGTTGTTCCAATGTTGGGAGACTGTTGGTTGGGGCAACCTCGTGCCTCGCGACATGCCCATAACCATTGGCCAACCATTATCGCCGACAATTTTCCAACGATGGCCCCAACGATTTGTGCTAATGGGGTTAAAGCTGGGTTTTTCTAGGGATGGTAGCGGGGCGAGGAACACTGAGTGCAGATTAGTGATTTCTCCTCTTTTCTTAGGTAGGGCTTATTTAATGGTACAGTTCTCCTAGAATTGGAGCAGACCATCATTGAAATCCCTACATTTAGCACTCCACCTCTCCGCCCCTAGAAAAACCTGGATTAAGGCAGCAGAGTCTCTACTTATTGTTTAGCAATAAAACGAATAAAACATGGTAGGCTTATATTTTGGATCTAGAGTCTGATAAAAAAAACAGGTTATTTAATGATCGAATGAACTTAATTTAACAATATAATAATCCCTTAGGACACTAAAAAGTTGATACCAGTAATTAATGTAAATAAGTTAATTGGCTAAAATAGATTAACTTACCTTCCATGAAATAGAATTAAACCACTGGTCCCGGATGTAGGCATTACTAGCCTGAAACAGACATGAGAGAGGATTAAGTTATTGGAACCATATATTGTTTTATTTCTATTACTGTTAATTTAAGTTATTGTTAGTCGATTTTGGTCATTTAATTATAGGCTAGTAGGCCTATTATTACATGTATTTGTTTTACTTTATGTTCAAGTGTTACCTGTTAAATGTTGTTTTTAACCCTTTCAATGTCATGGGATATTGTTGTGCGTCTTTTTCCCGAAAAGTGTACTTGTACTGTGGGCCACCCCGACGTTTCAAGAATACTCTTGCCCCCCCCCCCCTAGTTTTGATCCACGCATTGAACAGTGTCTGAAAGAACCTTAATTAGCTGGACAAACAACTAGAGTTATTTAGTACAATAACAGTAGGAAAAATGATACTGTACTGGCCAGTTGGCCTAGCTAGCAACGAACCCTTCCCCTTCCCCTAGCCGTAGCGAATAATTTTTATTTCAGCTGCAGTTTTTAATACGAACAAAATGAGAGTTAAAAATTATAAAATTATTTTTATATTTTTTATTATAAAATTAAACTGTTATAACCTAACCTAACCAACCAAACTTGCTGATAATGAAGAAATCTAACTTATTGAAGGTCTACTAATCAAAATATAGTTATGTTCGTAAAATAAAATTATAAATGCCTTAAATTCTAACAAAAGATGTAGGTACAACAGGTATAACAGTTATAAAAAGTACCGTATGTAATCGCATTCCAAGCAAAACCTTTGACAATTAATAGGATTCGATCTTATTGCCTTCTAGCATTGACTTTATGTCTACACAGTGTAGTATAAAGCCAATGCTTCTAGTGCTCTAGTCTAGTGGCTCAAGGCCCCACTAGAAAAAAACAGGCCATGCTGCATTGCTGTAGCACGGGCAGCACAACACTACACGTCACAGTGGTGGATAGTTGTACTGTACTCAACTCTTACCATTAAAATCTTACAAAAAGCCAGATGTTTATTTACCTAAAACATACGGGAATGAGGATGGCAATGAATTTATTAATTAAATCAATCCATCCACTAGTGTGAAGTCATGGATCCTGCAGCATGGCCTGTTTTTCTAGTGGGGCCTTGAGTGGCTCCTGGTTCTATCCATCCATTACACAACAAACAAACACTGTTGGCTACCCCTCCGTATCGTTGCGGTAAATGGTGTTCCCTTAGCCAATTGAATGCTCTCATTTTGTCCGTATTAAAAAACCACAGCTGAAATACAAATTTTACAGCCGTAGTCCCTAGCAGCGCTAGCTTAGACTAGACTAGACTAGACAGACTTCAGCTGATCTACCAACCAAGCTCCCCTTCTTCTTCTTCTTTTGTTGTTTGCTAATACAAAGCTGGCTTGTTTAACTTACCATGTAGCCCCGCTATTTAAACTTAGCTATGTCACAACAAATGTAGTATTTTTCTTGAAGTGTTAGGTTAGGTTAATGTTATTTTTTATATAAATAGAGGTTACTGAGGTTAAATCATTTTAAGTAGCTATTTTATAGACGTTATGCAAGTTGGATGGATTGTTAACGTAGAGGTTAAACTTTAAAAATTCGAGTTTAATTTTATGTAACCGATGTGACATTCTTCTCTTCAAAGAGACCTGAAACCAGCTGCTTACTGAGTAGTCTGGTTAAAACACACTAGTTACTAACTTAATTGCACCAGCCTAATTTCTAACTAGATATTTACAAAACATTACTGTCCATTATTTACACACTTTTTCAAGGATGTTACCTGTAATAATACAGATCCGTTAGGCACGACAAGGCGAATGCAGAATTTGTGGTTAGTGTCCCATCGTTTTACCACATAGACTTCTTGCAAAGCAGAGTAAGGAATGGACATGTCTAGGAAACCCATAGGCTAGAACAGGGAAAACCAAATAATTTACAAACATGACACTACCTTTTTATCATTTAAAGATCCATACACTTTACACTGTGATTAGGGCTACTATGTATCGTTGAATACATTGTAAAACACTATTACCCTTTATACTATATTAAAATGAATTTAAAAGGGCACTAGTATTTTATCACGGCCACCATTTTATAATGTATTCAACTATGCATGTGTCCGTGGACGTGATAACTCGAGTCATTTGGTACGATTTTGATGACATTTTGGCTTGAAGGTGCAGGGCGGGTAAAACTTTTGAATAAATTCGCAAACCAGCAAGATTGGGTCATGGGAACGGGGTATTATGATGTTTTTAAACCCTTGAAAAATATTTTTTTTATTATCTCCGTTAAAACATGGAAATGCCCAATTTACAAAGCAGCCATTATGTAGAGCTTAAAAAACCGATTTTATACATCAAAACGCGTTTGTACAACTGAAGGTCATGGATAACGCATTAAAAAAATCTACGTTTAAAATTAACTTTTTTTTCTTATGAAGAAAAAGAAAACTTTGTAGTTTGCTTGCTTGTGGATGTAACGTGATCATTTAATTTTATACTAAGGATTTTTGGTCAAAACCCCCTTTTACAGTACCTTTAGCAGCAAACCTTTACTTGTTTAATTTCAGTTATTTAAATGGTGAAAAACTATATCTCTTGTTTATGAAAACATTTTACAAAAAGTCCATCCAAAACGAATTGATATTCACTTCGTCTGCAGGGTTGCTGCGGTGGCGGTCTTTTATTCTACATTGAGCTACAAATTTAACTTGGAACTTACATCCACATCACATAAGACGTGTATCAATAGACAAAAGCTATATGTAACAAAATTGAAGAGCGGCTTTCAAGGTCGCTCTAAATGTTAGGACAAATACACTGAAATACTTCAAATAATTGAACTTAATCTTTTATTTTACTGATAGGTCATAAAAAATGCAAAACTGTTTTGAATCACGAAGTGAGAGACTTAGACTTGTGTGCGATTTACAACTAATTACACCACACCTCCAGTCGGTTATTTAGCGAGCCAGTGAAGCGTGGGATTGTTCCCGCTTTGCACTTCTATCTTTTCCACCGAAGATTATAGATTATCCACCGTTGGTTATCACAAATTAAACATACATATACATTATACATGATATGATATGCTGGGTACGTAATCTTTATGGATCAGACAAATGCAATTTTAAGGTATGTACTATTCAGTACAAGGTAAAGTATTTTAACTACTATAAGCCTTCTTTCACACTAGCGCGGTGCGGGACCGTCCCGCACCGGACGAAGCTGTTTAGACTATTGAATCATATGGGAGCTTTCACACCAGTGCGGGTTGACCCGGACAGACCTAAACCTCCGTCCGGGTTGAAAAATCACCCGCACGAACCTAAACTTCCAATGCGGGTCGAAACCGCATGAATAGTCTTTAGATCATGGGTTCTTATGTACGCTTTCACACTTGCGCGGGGCGGGCTGGTTTCGCCCGCACATAAATCAGTAGTTTTGACTGTCTATGCCTATTAGTGGTTGATTTTGTTGTACTCTTGTTAATAGGCAAGTTTGTTCTTGGTATTGAGGTTGAAATTTATATAGAGCTTATTAGTTTGGTTAAGCTTTATATTTTGGTTCAGTTTGAAGGTCAGCGTGTAGGACGAGACCTCCACTGCAGCAAACCATCTTTCATTTGCATGTTAAATTTTTACAAAAGATTTTATTAAACATGCCTGATTTATTTAATATAAAAACATTTGGTTTAACGAGCACTTACATGTTCTTCTAAATATATGGAAGGAAATGAAGTGTTGTTTAAGCTAAAACCACTTACAAAAATATGTGCATAAAAATCATTATATATAACCAACTACAGAATCACTTTATCTCCTATAGTGCACTGAAAAAAATGGTCCCAGATGTTATAGTATATTTCATAACAAGAGTTTAGAGTGGGTCATTACATATTTGAGACCATGTTTGAAGTGCGAGATCTATCCCACAGCTGTCACCATAACTTTTAAAAACACAATGAATTGACATTTTTACACACACGGCATCGATCCAATTAGGTTTTAGCAAGGGGCACTGTATTTTATTTTCGGATACAGCAAGTAGTATAACCACCTTACTTTTATTTATTTGAATGAAATGCATCCAAAAATCACAAAGTTTCAGCCTGGAAACGCCCGGATCCGGGCAGCTAGTGTGAAAGGGCCTTGCGGGTCGCCCCGTATCGACGGTGCGGGACGGTGCCGCACCGCGCTGGTGTGAAAGAAGGCTAATTAATTTTTTTTATAATTTTTATATTAAATTCAAATAGAACAGTTTGCTGTAAGACTATTCCTTGTAAGACGGATATGTAAATACTATTTTGCCCTGAACCAAAAATAAGGCATAAATATTATATCAACAACAACAAATTCAAGCGTAACCAAAAATAAACCTACCAACCCCGTTCTAATCAATCTATCTCTACATTATTCGCATTTAATCTTTAATTCAAAACCCCGTACAATATCGTTTCTTTTAAAGGTTCAAAGATATTCGTTGTAAGTAGGCGTTGTTAAACGTTAGTGTGTTAACCACCTTTACATCAGGGTTTCTGAAATTAAACAAAAATATTTGCTGACAGGTGACACTACAAAATTTTTTTACGCCTTTAATAAAAAAAAATAATAATAATTTTACAAAGCCATAAAATTGAGGATGGCAGTCCCTCATTGTCAGAGAGGGGGCTCTGATACGAACGTTTATTAACCTTTCAATTCAATCCAATTTCTTTCTCTGCTTAATTGAACATAATTTTATCAAAGGATAAAAGTAATATTTTTATTTTTACAAAAATATAATTTTTACACAAAAAAATAATAGACCTACGGTCGTATTTATGTTTTTTAAAAGTCACATAGTATCAATACTGCCAGTTTTTATGACTCAGCTTACAGCTATGACTCATCTTACTAATTGAACTTCTTTTACGACTTTCTTCTGATTTATGTTCACTGATGAAACCATACTGTCCCAACTGATGCTAATAACTTCAATTACAACAATTTTCATCCTCATTATTTGGAAGATTGCAATTTAACCATTTGACTTTGCCGACTAAAACCTCTTACATAAAATAGTTTACACTCAATCTTCTTACTAAAATAAGCTGATTCCTTTAATCAGGTCCATTTTTTAAAGGCTTAATGATGGAGAACATCTGGAAATGGTTCTGAACCTTCGAACAAAGAACCTTTTAGACTGTTAGGTGAGCACTACATATTATGCTACGTCACTGTGCTTATCTGTGCCCGAAAATAGTCTTTGAATCCAAATGTCAGCCACGTTCACGTAAACTAAATGTCTTGTCTGAATAAATAACAATTTGAATCTTTGTATTAATTGTTTAATCCATTTTACTTTTTAATTAACCGTATAGAAGTTAGAGTTTTATCCTTGAAGATAAAATTGAAATTGTCATTAGTTGATGTTGGGAGGAAGATTTAGAGGAATGCTCAGTTCACCTCAGTTTTCAGATCAGATTTACTGGAGGTCGAACACATGGTTAAAGCAAGGTGGGAGGGAGAGATAAAAAGGGTTGGTGGGGATTTTATCCCTGGGAGGGATCAAGTTCATACATCAAAAAACGTGTTATGATTTACAACACTAATAATGTGTTGAGTTAAGAGTGCTATCCATATTACACCAAACTCTCTAAATTTATTTGGTTTCATTAACCAATATTTTTCATTTTTTAGGACAAGGAATTAAATAAAAACGCAACTTAATTAAGTCAGTTCTTTCAAGGTAAATTTAGAAAACAATAAACAGGTACCTAAATTAATTATTATTGAAAAAAATACTTTCTACGAACTACAATATTGTTTATGCTTATTGAAGTTTCTTAGTAATGGAATACAATCAAATATGCATTTTAACCAAGTTGAGCAGAATTAAGGTAATAAATAGTTTTATAGATGTTTTTTTTTTATTTTAATAAAATCTAGCTGACTCAATTTCATAGCCCACTTTATTCTGTAATTGTTTCTCACTATTTAAAAAATCTTTAATTAAATGGCACTGTTGGTGTTGGTGATGTTGAAGTTGCTTCAGAGGATTAACGCGCATATTTTCCATCACTCTAACAAATATGGGTTAACAAAGCCTTTTTCACTGATCAGTGAAGAAAATTGTTCACAATAGTCCTGAAAAGAACAATAAATAAATATAATACAGTGACTGAATTCAGGTTAGTCCTTTCTGCACTACCTTGTCTTTAAGCCAAAATTCACCCATTTAAATCATCACTTATTTTTTTCAAGTCTTCGGGTTACCTACTATAATTCAAATATGATTTACAAGTAGGGATTTCTTGTTGATTGTGTGGGATAGAGTAGTGCCGCAGCAACAGAAGGGGATGAGGGGAAGTGTGGAAGGCATTGATCTGTCGGGTGTTAGGTTTAGGGGGTGGTTTTGGAGGGAAGGGTAGATGGTTTTGGGGGGAGGGTGACGACACACTTTTCATATTTCCCACAGCTAGTCCATTACCATTCCCCGAGATACCAATGTAATGTTGGCTGCTGTGTTGAACAAATACTTGAACACTCTTCACTCAAAAGAAGTTTTTTTTTTATTTATAATATTAAATTATTTTATTTCAATTACCTTTAACAACCTAACTAAAGAATCGGTGAGTTGGTTTGGATAAATGGCCAAACCAACCTGATCCAACCATGAAAAGGGAGTTTTTAGGAGGTGGTTTCCTCATAAATCTGAATTTGTAAATAATTTGTGGGAATTTATTTTTACGTTTGTAAGAGACATTGAAAACAATCTTGTTAAGTCAATCAATGTGGTGTAATATAACTCAACTCTATAGAACATGGATAACTAAGATTGTCTTTTAGTGATTGCCAAAGGTAGAGTAGTAGGGCGATGACCTAAATGTTATCCTTATGGAGGTTGATTTAATTGCTGTATA